CTGAGGAGCAAGTAGTGAGTTTGAACCACCGATCTGTGGTTCAAACTGACCTTGCGGTCCAGTGCATTATCCTGCAGTACCACACCAAGACTCTTTGGAATATCTAAATACCATATACCTATATACCATAGAAGAATTGTTAGAAGGAATCCTAGTGTGGCTCTATAGGACTGTTAACCACAAGTTCGATGATTGAAACCCACCAGCCACTCAGAAACCCTACACAGGGTCACACTATGAGTTGAGACTGACTCAACTGTACTTTAACAACAATAACAACACAGTGTTAGAAATCCAGTCTCAGTATTCTAGATTCAGAACAGAACTCATACTAATCATCTCTGAACTAAATTTTCACTTTAACAAGGTAGTTAGGAACATGGACTTTAGAATTAAAAAGAGTTGGGGTCAAATCCTAGCTCCACTACTTACTAAGTATGTGACCACAGGTCAATTATTTAATTCAAATTTACATGTGTAAAATGAAGATAGTAACTTACATGGTTAAATGGGAGAACGTGTATGAGAGACTAAGTCTCGCTAGCCTAACTTCTAAGGACCATTCTGGCTCTACTTCCTTCAACACAGATTTGTTTGGTCTTCTGACAATCCATGCTACTTTCAATATTTTTCTCCAAGACGATAATTCAAATGCATCAATTCTTCCACTGTCTTCCTTATTCACTGTTCACATGTACATGAGGCTACTGAAAATACCATAGATTGGGTCAGGTGCACCTTAGTCTTCAAACTGACTAGATTTGCCTAATACACAATACATCATTTGATTTCTTGACTGCTGCTTCCATGAGTTTTGTTAGTGGATCTAAGCAAAATGAAGTCTTTGACAACTTCAATCTTTTCTTTATTTCTCATGATGTTACTTATAGTTGTCCAGTGGTGACTTATACAGAAAAATAAATCAGAGAAGTTGATGTTAAAGTGCAATACAATGCAGTTTTAGTTTTATAAAGTATTCTGCTATAGCTTATATCCCTCTCTCTCTTCCCTTATTATTTTCCCATGGTGGCAAAAGTACTCTATTAGGTACAGTAACTCTCCACTTATTTGATGATCAAATATCCTGGCAACTTCACTTAAACCTGCAAATAGCTTCAGGCCCTAACAAACCCTATAACTATGAATATAATGTCTGAGTTCTGTGTGGCTACTGCAACAAACTATCAAACCCAGCTGAGCAGTAGAGTATTCTGTGAGGACCAATGGTTGGTGACATCATTTTTTCTTTGTAATAGTAAATAATGTATTGAGTCATGGAATATCTTTGATATAACCTTGGTAATATTAAGTAGCTGAATTTGAAATTGTAATTTTTTAAAGAGAACATGCCTTTTAGATGTCACAGATACAAGTTGGCACAAGTGAGCCCAGTAATTCTTTTCAAATACAGGTCTGTTTACAATCAAAGTACGCAAATAGAGTTTCTCTCATCACAATTATCTTAACACTCCAGCCTTGGAAAGTAGACCACAGCACAGTATTACAAAAGACAATAGCACACACACACAAAAAAAGACAATACCACAGAGAATCATTTAAGGAACGTATGAGAAAACAAAAATTAATTTCCAATACTACTAATAGTCCTGTGGTGCTATAGGACAAGCACCGGACTGATAACTGCAAGGTCGATAATTCAAACCCACAAGCCACACCTTGGAAGTCCAGGGTCGCTATGAAACCAAGTCAAAAATACTTAACACTACTAATATGCTGTCTTGATATTTTACACCCTTGATAGCTCTATGCTATAGTTATTTCATATCAGTAAAATGGGAAATATATATCTTATAATTTCTAAAGGAGTCCCTGGGTAGGACTAACAGTTAGAGTTAATTAACTAACTGTTTTGGCTATCTGCTGCTAGCCAAAGAGCTGGAGGTTTGAATCCTCTCACAGGCACCTTGGAAGAAAGGCATGAAAAATCAGACAGTTCTACTCTGACACACATGGGGAGGCCATGAGTAACAAGTGACTCAACAGCAACTGCTTTTACCCTTCTAAGAGACAGCTCACAACAAAACAAACCTATTGTCATCAAATCGATTCCAACTCATGAAGACCCAGTGTGTTAACGAGCAGAACTGCGGCTGCAAGGGGTTTTCTTGGCTGAAAACTTTGCAAAAGCAGTTCGTCAGGTCTTTCTTCTGTGGTACCTCCGGGTAGCTTCAGTTTTCCAACCTCTGGATTAGAAAATAGTGCAAACCATTTGCACCACCCATGGGCCTTAAAAAACAGTTAAACCCACGGCCATCAACTCGAATGCAACTCAACAGCGATTCTATGTAGCTTTCTGAGGTTGCAGATGGTTATAGAACAGAAAGCCTTCTCTTTCTTACTCAGGATGGTGGATTCAAACTGCTGACCTTGCAGTTAGCAACCCAATGCATACCCCATTACACCCCCAAGGTTCCTTAAGTGACTGTTATTGTTAAGTGTCAGCCAGTAGGTTCTGACTCATAGTGACACTGTATTAGGGTTTCCAATGAACAGCTGCTGGGTTTGAACTGCCCACCTTGTGGTTTGCAGTGCAGTGCTAATTCTACAGCACCACACCAGGAGTCCTAAAGCAGTGTTAAGTAATTTTATATTTATAGTATAATTAGTTTTACTAGCACTAAAATAGCAACAATATAAACAAATTCAGTATTACTATAAATTTGTGTCAAAGTACACAAAATATTTAGAAAGTTTCCATTTTCAGAATTAAAATATGGCATCTAAAAATGTATCTCAGTAAACTGAATCTGCTCAGTTTTTATTTGTTGCTGTTAAGTGCCATCGAGTTGGTTCTGCCTCATAGTAACCCTGTAAAAGATTTCCAAGGAGTGGCTGGTGGGTTTGAACCACTGACCTTATAGTTAGCAGTCCAGTGCTTAACCTACAGTACCATACTAGTGGTGGTAGTGGTTTGTGCCATCAAGTTGGTTCTGACTCATAGTAACCCAGTATAGGGTTTCTGTGGCTGTAAATCTTTGTGGGAGCAGACAGTCTCATCTTTCTCCTGTTGAGCAGCTGGTAGATTCAAACTACTATCCTTGAGGTTAAGTCCAATTTGTAACCCACTATGCTACTAGTATTCCTTTCAGTACCACATTAGGCCTGCTTATTTGACATGTATGTTTATGTTTCTTAGCTTATTCTTACAGAAAAAAATCTATTAAAAATTACAATAAAATATAAATATAAGAGTACAAAGATACATATGTAAAATAAAGCTGTCATACAAGATAATTATTCAAAATGCAATCTAATTGTCAAACAAAATATAACAGCTAATCAGTGATTAGTTCTCTTATGTAGAATATTACCAGGATTTTTACTCTAAATATAATCCACCCACTTATCCAATCTTTTAATTTTGTTCTATATTTTACTGAACTATAATCAATATACAATAAACTGTACATATATAAAATATATAGTTTGGCTAAGCTCTGAAATATGTATGCTCCCATAAGCCATCACTACAATCAAGACAATGAATAGTAACTGCTTTCTGCCACTAGAAATATTTGCATTTCCTCAAATTTTATGTTAAAGTAATCATATATAATACATGATCTAGTTTCTTTCACTCAGCACAATTATTTTGAGATTCTCCCATACAGTAACACATTATCAATAGTTTAACTAACTAATAAAAATGGTCTGACTTGAGCATTATACTCTTCAGAACTATCAATATGGGATCCAACTGATAACAGCAAAAGAGAAGATAGGAACTTTAGGGCACAGTGAGCTTATGTTAATGGGGATGAACAATTTGGAAACCAAGGGTGAGAAGGCACAACTTTAAGAATGTAATCAATGTTCACTATATTGCTCATGTAGAAACTGTTGAATTGATGTTTGTTTTTCTGTGTATAATCTCAACAAAACAAATAAAACTGAAAGGAAAAAAGAATAAGTTATTAGATGTTAAACATTTTATAGGATTCCTGGTGTGGTGCTGCTGGATAAGCACTCGACTATAAGGTCAGTTTGAACCGCAAGGCTGGCAGTTCAAACCCACCAGCTGCTCCTAGGAAACTCTATAACGGAGTCGTTATGAGTCAAAACCAACTCGACAGCACTTAACAGCAACAACAAACATTTTTATAAATTTTAAAGCACGAGTCTAAAGAAGAGTAATTGTGATAATAGTTATTATAGACTTCAGAACTCATTAAATAGAGTTAGCCAGTATTGTAATTCAAAGACTCCTAGATTTTCAAATTATATTACTGTGTTTATCTCAGAACTACCCAAATAAAATGCTGGTCTATAAGATGCCATCACAAAACCTGTGTTCTCCTAGACCCAGATATCAAAGCTGTTTTTCCCCTGACATAATTTTGGTGCATCACAATACCATTAAGAAACTTCTCAGGTAGGGCCAGCTGTTTCCCACCGCTGGAATAACTATTTCAGTTTTCTTCTGAAACATTCTCGTAATAAACTCCCTTTTGTTAAGACATCAACAGCATGTGAGTCCCGTGCCATCAATGCTGCTGTTCCTGAAATGTGGACAGTTCACTTTTCATTCAGATTTTTCCTTTTCTCCTCTTTTCAAGATGAATTTTGGCTTTCATAACTATCACCAATGAGAGTGCTTTTGTGTTTGGTGTCAGTGGCAAACAAAGCAAATCCCATTATATATCTGATGTAACCTTTGCATACTCCAATTCTTATTAGTGGCCAGTATGAGGAACTGGAAACGTTCATTCCTGAGACAGCATGATTCTACAAACACTTAATGTTTCCAAAGAGTAGATTCCCAGATAAATGAAGCATTACTGTACATGTTTTTAACTTACTAACTGGTCAAAAGATAATCATGCATCATAGGGATCTTTTCTATTTCTTAGTCTGTCTTTTAAGCATTCAAGTCAAATCCAAAAAGTTATTAAAAATCAAACATCACTCTTAATTGGGACTCAAAAACAAAAAGGCAGCAGTAATCAATTTAGCAGAGGAGATGAACACATTTACAGTACCTTTCAAAGCTTCCGTTTCTATGTCAACTAATGGCTTCCCCACAAAGGCAATTTCGTCTATATTATAATAGAGTTTCTTAATGACACCATCATAACGACTAGTGATGGTAACAGAAGCTTTATCACTTTGAACTTCACAGATGCTATCAAATTGAGACACTGTATCTCCTTCTTTGACATACCTAAAGGAAAAAGACACAAGATACCTTTTCATGAAAAATTATTAGTACAGACCATCCTAACAATGCAAATGCCATATGAAATTAGATTATTCTCCATCTAACCGGGTATTCAGTCCCAAAAGATGCATCAAATAATGTTTCACAGGTTATAATAGCTTCCAGATATCCTTAGATATACTAAAAATTTCAAAACTGTGCATAACACATATAATCTAAAATTTTCATTACACTTACAGAATTTTTGCCTGACCCATTTCTTGGGGAAAGAGGTTCTAAAATTATATTGTTATTGTTTAAGTGATATTTCCCCTTTGACTGTCTTTCACTAGCCCTTTTCAAACATTTTTTAAAAGCGGCACCCATTAGTTCTAGAATTGAGTCAAAAAGTTGATGTTCCCAATCCACATCATTTATGATTTCATTAATTTTGGGTATGAGTTTTCTCAATCTTTCTAGAAATATTTTATTCTGTCTTTATATATGAACATTTTAACTCCTGATGCATTTTAGGTGTGCTTTATAAGATTCTTCTAGGTAACCATAGCAAACAGAACTGGAGGAGTAGGTTAAAGCTGGATTATACTACATGTAACATGTAACTTTGATTCTAATACTATTCTTGCTGTGTCCAACACATTTCTGACTTATTTCTCTTAATTCTCCATAAAGACCATTTGCAGTAATCCCTGCTTCTGCATTCCTCAATTCTCAGTGCACGCAATAACTTTACTAATGACACAGAAACCAGGTTTAAAAGCACATAGAGAGGACATTTACTTCTGATACAGCAGAGTAAGGGACTTTAAAAAAAAAAAAGTAAACTGGCAAAATCCATCAAAATCAAAAATTTCAGGATTCTGGAAATTAAAGAAAGGCATTCAATAATCCAAGACACATTTATTCAAGAAACACAGCTGAATCTCACTAAAGAGAATAAACTTTTTTTTTTTAATCCCCTTAGCCCTACCCCTCTTTCCCTAGTTCAGCAGTAGCCTTGAACACCAGTCAGTGCCACAAGCATAGTAGCTGGGAAAATCTGGCATTTGTATTATTCTGTCCCTAGAAGGGCAGAGCTGATTTGGAGCTCCTAGGAAAGCCACTACCCAGAGACCTGTTATTATTTGACTTGGTCTGGCAATTCCCTGAAACAATCTGACTCACAAAACTTGTCTTTATTTGACCTGACAGCTGGGGTCGCTATTCCCAAAGGCCCTATCTCCAGGGCATTTGCTGAAAACTATCAGCAGCTATTGTTTAAAAGAACAGCTGTCTAGGGCAGCTAAATCAATTAAGCAAGCATAGAGCTAGTTAAAAAGAAAATCTTAAAAGGAAGAATTGGGTTATGAGATGTCCACCATTGTGCTTTGTGCCCTCCAGTCAATCCTGCATAGTAGCAACCAATGAATCATAATAGAACTGTTTTAGGGTTTCCGTCCTAGGTTATAATCTTTAAGGACGCAAGATTGTTAGGTCTTTTCTTGGCTGATGGGATCAAACTGGCAATCTTTTAGTTAACAGCCAAGTGCTTAACAACTGCACCACGAGGGCTCCTTTGAGATGTCCATAGATGTTCACAGCTTTGAAAGACTCTGACACAGTTCAAAAGATCTATCATTGTTACATGCCATTAAGTCGGTTCCAATTGACAGTGACCCTAAATAGGGTTTCCGATGGACAGCTGGAGCCACTGACCCTGAGGTTACCAGTCCAAGGCTTATGCTACAGTGCCACACTAGGACTCCAAGAAATCTACAAAGCCACACAAATGTACAAGGTCGTGCACATGTCCTGGAAAGACCTACAAGAACCCTAATCTTTCATCTCTGGTTGAACCTAGGGTCTGTGCAACCAAGATGTAAAGGCTAAAGCAGAGCACTGAGGCATGCCAAACATGAATACACAGTCACTCAGCAAAGTGTCAAATAATTAGCTGCTCACTATATTAACCAATAATTAGCTGCTCACTAAATTAACCAAGCAATGACTTCAATTGTCATACATGAAACAAACAGAAAGAGCAACTAGAAAATCAATGGGGGAAAAAAGGAAGGAATCTGATTTCCAGAGCTGCCATATTATATTTTTCTAAAAGCTCATTTTCCAACAACAACAAAAAAATTACAAGATGTGCAAAGAAACAAGAAAGTATGCTCTATAACAAGGGGGATAATTTGATAGAAGCCATTCCTGTAGAAACCCAGGTGTTGGACTTACTAGACTTCAGATCAATTATTACAGTGAAACCTGTGAGAGTCAGAACTCACTGGGACTGCCTTGTTTTTCCAGGTCTTGAAAGTCTTCTGCCTTTGATGGTATGCAGTTTTACCATTTCTTTATTACTCTGTTAGTGGAAAATACAACAAACCCCATGACTGCCTTGTTTTTCTTGGTCTTGCAATTTTCCTGCCTTTGACAGACTGACAGGGTCTTACCACTTTT